TCAACATTCTCCAAATTTCAGTCTTTCACAGTAACATATACACGTAAACAAAAACTTAATTTTTTTAAAGCTAAAATTAAAAAAAAAAAAAAAAAAAAAAAAAAAAGAAAGAAAGAAAGAAAGAACAAGCTAAGCAAAAGTTTTTGTTACATATATATAAAGATGTAAGAAGTTATACTTACGTCACTTCATTGTGCTGCCAGCGCAGAGGATCAGAAGAGCAGGTGGTTGTGGGCAGAAGTAGACCATGCTTCCCAATGACGACCCTTAATGAGTTTTGGAGGAATGGTGGTCTTCTACACAAATTGACAGTAGTGTTCAGCAATCATTTGTAAACATTTGAACTTTGTGCTAAAGATGATAGAGTGCAAGGACAGGATAAAATTACCCTGTGAGCTATGCATGGACAATCATATTATCGAGAAGTTGCCCAGCAAATATATATTTATCCTATATCTAGCCATTTTTCTTACTCTACCACAATAATTTAGTCAATTAAGAAATATAGTTAAACTTTGTATCGTGCTTTCGCTTCACACCCCCTATATATATATTTAAACAAAAGCTTAAATTTATAAATTAGAAGAAAAAGATTATATCATCCTGTAAAATTCTTTACATTGAATTTTAAAAAAGAAACCATTAAATTATAACAAAGTGAGTTGCAAATGTAAAGGAAAAATTTTTGAAAAAGTTTTAATATATTTTGAAGAATTTAAAAAAAAAAAAGTTTAAAATAAATATGGATATTGATCATTCATATTTTAATGCTTCAAACTTGTAATAATTTAAAACCTGAATAATTATGGAGTACAAAATTCCCATTTCATTCCACTTGAATTATTGAGCAAGATTAATATCACAGTAAAAGGAAAAAAGAATTACATTTACACCCATTCCCAAAAAGTGCAGAGACTATTGCAATGTGATTTCCTTCCTGACAATATGTATACAGTGAAAATCGTTTAACATGAAACTGAGGGGACTAAAATATTTTTTTGTGTTAAAGAATGCTGAAAAAATATATAAATATATTCAACAAAATTAAGTTTAATAAACTTTTTACCCACATAGAAATGTACATGCATGCATTTAATAAAAATCTAAGAAACAAAATCATCCACAAGAACTTAATTTAATGCAAAATTTTCAAGATTTTTGAAAAACAGAATTTTTGGAAAATAATCTGACATTTTTCTTTGCATTGCCTTTTTAGCATCAAATTGTTCGATGTGGTCCATTTTGTTATTCATTTCACCATTGGAATGTGCGTCTAAATAACTGTGCATACTTTTCATGATGTTCCTCATTTCGGATGACATGGGAACAGGAGCTGCATTATTAATTTCATTTTCATCGTCAAAATCTGCATCAATGACATTTTTTGAGCTTTGAACAAATTCCAAACTGTTTTTGTCTGCCATAATTGGATTGGTACGCACATTATTATCATCTATTGCAACGAATTCTTCCGACGATACAGTAGGACAGTCCAATAATACAGAAATTTTCTCAAACATTTCATTAAGTGTCGGCTCAGTTTCAATATCCTTCTTCTCCACTTCGAACCAAATTCACTGATTTTTACACACCCTGTGGTGTACTCATCTCAGAGTTCTAAAGCCATTTAATGAGAGATGAGATTTTTTGTGTGGTGTTTGTAGGGGTGGTGGGTGAAATTAGCTTAAATAAACAAAATTGGCTTGTGTTACAGGCTATTCAGAAGTATTTCAAAGCCAAGTTAGCCTCCTTTCAACAAAACACGCAAAAACCCCTTTTCTTTCATTTCACACCCCTCTTAAATCTCGCCTGTGCGGCTAGTGTTTTCCGTATTTTGTTCATGCCCAGAAGGGAAATCTTAGCATGTCAAAAGAAAAAAAAAAAAAAAAAATGCATGAAAATACATAATAGTTTATCGGGACCATTGGATTATTCCGTGTTAGCAGATATTTCATCTTAAACGTTTTCGTATTAAACATATTTCACTGTATATGTATATAGTCACGACAAGATTAATCTGGTGCAAATTTCCTCAATGGTCTTCGAACTCTGCTGCCTCAAACTTCCAGTGAATCATCAAATTCATTTCCAGAACATGATTGAATGGCATATTCAAAAAGTGCTTTAAAAATCATTGAGTATCTGTAAGTTTAAAATCGAAACTGTTTTGAATCAAAGTCAGTGCCAAAACGTAGTGAAATGTGGTTACTGTTTCTCTCTCGCTCGCTTCGAATATTCACAATGTTTATGCATTTCCGATCATCGTGTAGAAAGAAACTTAAACATCCAAAGTGCTTTGAAGGTCATCGACCTCATCAGTGAAATATGAAATGCCAAACAGTATTTTGTGCTCTTTTGCATGTTCAGTGCTTTATTCGGCAAATTCTTCATATTCAAAGAATGCAATATTATCAAAAGTCATCAAATGTGATAGCGAAGTGATATTAAGTTCCAAATTGAGTAAATTACGTTTCGGAAAAAAACAAAAACTTTGCATTTTTAAGTTATTGTATTATGATTTATTGATGGTAATATTTTGCTTAAATCATTTTAATATAAATGTTAATAATTTAAAAATTTTATGATTTATTTAAAATGTAAATTGAATTGTAAAGAATTGGAATTTTATAATTGGAAAAGAAAAACTTACTGAATTTAATAAAAATTATGTAAGGTATTTGAAGGTTTTACTTAGGGAAAGTTCCTAATGTAAATTAAGATTTTTGTATTATTGTTTAAATTTCGTTGAATTTTTAGTGTATTTTAAGAATGAAATTACTGTTTGAAATTTTTGAATTGTAGGTATTTCTTGAGCGTTTTCAAGGTAAACATTGAAGTCTCTCACCTTTATGAAAAAGTACATTTTTTTAATCTAAGTATTTTTATTTTTTCATAAAATAAAGTGTGTTTTTAATTTTTTATAATGGAATGACAGCAGTTCGAAAAAGGCCTGTTGCCTCTATCAAAGGAACGGAGATCTTTTCTACAGTAATTGCTAATTGGCAAATCTTTTGGCCACTGGTGAAGAATAAACACCAGTTTGCTCAACTGATAAACCAATATGATGGAAATGCTAGTATTTAGAGAAAGTTGTGGAGTGTCTTCAAGTTTTGTAAAGAATAAGTAAATTTTAAATGTCAATATTTAGAACTTCTGCAAGACATAATACCAGATTTTGTTGAGAACCTGCCATTACTTCAACTCTGAAATGGATAGTTTCAACATGATGGCGCGCCTGTGCACAAGACGTCACGAGTGAAGCAGGACCTGATGGAGTAATTCAGAGAACAAATAATTGGGTATGGTGGTTTTGAAGAGTGGTCTCCACCTGACCTCCTGACTCCAATGGACTTTTTCCTGTTGGGATACCTCAAACAGCAGGTATATGCGACCCATCCACAAACACTGTAGGACCTTCGACAATGTATTACAGATGCTTGTGCAAACGTGTCACCCGCTATGCTACAACGAGTACAGTATGAAGTTCCAACAAAAGTCCAAATGTGCATTTCAGCTGGAGAGACATTTGAACATCGAAAATAAAGGTAGCTTGTGATAACTACTTGTTTTTTTCTTTTTAAGATCCTTTTGTGACGTCACAGTGTAGGTAATCACGAACAAATAAATGTGCGTTTAAAACTTTCTGTTCTTAACATTCATGTCCACAAGGTGTGTTTTCTTACTAAATCGACAATGCTCTACAACTTTGTAATTCACTTTTTCTTCCTATCTCTACATTTATCATCCTTATCGTTTTATAGATAAGGATGCTAAACCCATTGTTTTCCACCAGGTAGAGCCATAAGTTATCTCACAGTTACTTTACTATACAGACACCACTTTTATAACAACAGCTGCAGCCATTCGGCAGTTAAACAGGGGGTACAGGACTTCAGTGGGCATCCTGTATAATATAAATGAGTCATATATCAACTGGAGTGTCTCTTTTCATAACTAACAAAAATATTTAAAATGCTTTCCTGATGTGACTTACTTTACTTGTCTCACAGTAACATCAGAACAAATTGACAAATTTTAAGATGGTGAGGAACACTGTATTGCATCTGTCATTGGCATGGGCCTTGGATGCCTTATATGTGACAATACATTTGTGCATTATGCAAATAGTGCATTCATTTCATACACTATTTGCATAATGTATTCATTTCTCCAACTCTGTCCCAATTTTAAAGAAGGATCTCCTGGGGGATAGATCTATTTTTCAATAATGTAACAAAAACCTCAGCATTCTCTTTTAAAATTCATATTTTTTGTTGCACACAGCTTCTACAAGAAGTGCTTTTATCATAATATTATGGAATGCAAGAACATTTTAAAATTTTAATGATTAACTAGGGAAAGGATAAAGATGAAAAATGTTTGAATCTATAGAAAAACTGTACTTTCTTTCACTATCATACAAACAGTGAATCTCACTAATCTGAATTTAAAGGGTTGTAATTACTTCAGGTAAACTATTGATGGCAGATAAATGCAAAAATAACAATCTATAGCATTTTAATTAAAAATAGGTCTTACAATTCATTAACATATTTATGCTGCTTAAAATAAGGAGCGATAATTTGAGATTTTTCTTTCATCATTTTCAAGAAATATAAACATGCCATTATTTGATAAGCAATACATGTGAATGTCTTTTTGTCCGATCAATTTTTTATTTTCACATACAATATACTAAAATCAGTGGTTTTCATTATAAAATATACAATACTTATAGCATAAAAGTGAATAAAAGTTTATCTGCAATGAAGTGTTTTGTTTTGATTTCACTGATTCAATATTATTGTTCATCATTTATATGCAAGATTTTATTGCGTATACATTTATTAGACCTACCCACATAGTGAAGGCAGCCATAATAGTTAACTTAATTGTCCAGATAACTCTCACTAATGAACTATACCAGTATCTTAAATTTTAAATAGGTGTATGAATTCTTACTTGTATCATCAAAGATTATGTAACAAATAACAAGAAAAAATTCAACTATGAAATTTTATTCAAATGATAGTAAAAAATACAGAATATTTACAAAATGTACAAAATTTACAGAGGAGGTTATGAAGCATCTGGGCTGTCATAATCCAGTTTGTTGGCAGAGGTTAATCCTTCAACATCAACTTCAGGTTCCATTGCATTTAACATATTCAAAGTGATTTCTGAAAATAAAACAAATCTTATTTAATAATATATTTTTGAATGACTACAGAAAAAATCCTGCTTTCTATTATGTACTTGGTTACTCTAGATTGAGATTTATTGATTTCTGGCTGCAAACTTTACATTAAAATTTAATTTTATTACAAAAAAGCATTAATAAAACCCATCGATTAAAAAATTGTTTGTATTATATTAATGGATGATAATTTGAACAAAAGTACATATTTTTTTATTGTTATATGTAGTATTATGTTAATCTGCATTCAAGATTTTAAAGGGGTAAAAAAACTGTTAAAATTTGAAAATACCAGCTGACATTCATGCAGACTGAAAAACTGATATTTTACCAACTTCTTTTGCAAATAAAAATTAAGCAAAATTAAGCAAACTTCTATTTTCTTTTTCAAATAAAATGTTTCACATCTCAATGCCAAATATGAAAAATAATGAAAATTTTAATTTCTTTTTAACATAGAAAATGATTTTAAAATTGTTAAGTGAATACTTTTCAGAGAAGTCAAGTAATTGTGACAGTCAGCTCTAGTAACTATTTAATTATTTGCATTATATGAATTATTTTGGGTCATTCCTAAAGTTCCGGAGTTTTTCAGATCAAAGCTAGTTTTCTTCAAATTATTTTGCTATTAGTCATAGAAAGTAACCTTGAATGAGAAGTGGTTTAAATATGTCCTACCTGTTCAAAATACATAATTTTAGTATGTATTGTGGCATATTATTTATTTCAGTGCAGTGCTAATAATAGAGAATCCAAAATTTTATTCTCATCATATTATGCTCTTTTATTTTAAAATGGGGGTAAATGTCAAACTGATTGTAAAATTTATGCTTTACTTGGAAAAGTGCTGTTTCTGATAACATCAAAGGTTGCTTAAGCATGGAAACTTTTGCTTTGACGATGAAGTGCACTTAAGACTAACATCCTCTGTAAATGAAGACCTATTAAGAGAAGCTATTTGTGGAAATTCAAGTAACATAGTTCAAGAATAAATACTCCATAAAGCACAGTTTATGATTATTTTGAAGAAGACGTGAGTATGTAAGCCGCTACAGTGTCTAGGTACTTTATGCTTTAATAAAGCAGAATATAAGAGTTTCGGCAAATGATTCTTTGCTAAAAAAAATCTGATGTGTACACCACGACTTCCTTGTAAAGAATATTAAATTATATGCACTTCTTCCTGCATTTTATTTAAACTTATTTCCTTGAATTTTATTAGATATTGAATTTTATTAGATTTTTCATGCAATTAATTCAGTTCTCACTTCATGGCAAGGCAAAAACAATAAAAACACAAAATACCTTCATTAAAATTTTAAAGATATAGAAAACATAAAACACCAAATACAGTTTAAAAAAAATAAAAATCCATTTTTACAATCAAGACAGTTTCTACACAAAAACAAGCAATTCAGACAGCGGCCAAGAAGACAGATTTTTCGGTGCACGAAATTGAAAGTTTACTTTTAGGTCTCACTTAGCAAAAAGATACTGAAGGTGTAGAAACTAATTTAATTTCTTGTGAATACTATGCTATATCAATACATGGGATAATTTAATAGCTTAAATGATAATTCCAGAATGGATTAAGCCTAATTTCATTCGCAATAATAGAAGACATTACTTTGTTGTTGCAAAGCTTAGTTTCTCTCGATTTGCAACAAATCCACTATTCTGCTAAGTTTCAAATGTAAACAAATATGGCTGCTATGGTAACAAAATTAGGCTTAGCCGCACTTAAGCAACTTTTAAATTGTTAATAATTCTACGATTATAACATGCAGGTTATAGACATAAAAACCTTAACTGGAAGATAAGAACAACATAATTCCATCATTTTCAAAGCAAAAAATGCACAATTTACAAACCTATAAGAATAAGGAAACTGAGCTAACTGAGACGAGTAACAGAGTACATATATATATATATATATATTTACATACTTTTGGTGTATCCGATCACATATGTGAGATACATACATACGTACGTACAGATGCCGTGAAAAAAATCTCTTATGAATCCATTTTAAATCAGTTTTATAATACGCTTGGGGAAAAAGACTCCTTTATTCTGTCCTTACGTACTGATGTCATGCAAAAACAGTGTTAAATTGCATTCGATAGCAGTCAAAACTGATACAGTACAAAGTCCGAGATCCAGACGTCCAATATCCGGAATGATCTAATATCTGGACCTCAAAGCCACCACCAACCATTTTTTACTTTTTAGAAATTTTTGGGGGTATGCTTTATGCATTTGATTCCCCCCTCATAATAAAACATGTGGAGAGCCCCGATTCTTAATCTCACTTTGGCACTAAATAAAATACATCATTAGTAAAGAAATAATTTTTTTAGCATAAATTTGTGAGACCAATAATTTGACTCCGAATCTGCATATCTGCTTGGCACACATCTCAAACCAAAACATTCTACATCGAAACATTTTTGATTTTACACCAACTAATATTTTAACCCTTTATGCCAACCTGGAGAATCATCAATTATTATATTTTTCCTTCATCACCACATATTTATCAACACATTACAATTTGAGTAATGACTCATGCAGCAATGCCTAAACAATTTTTTTATATTAGTAATTGAATAACGAAGAGTACGGTAATCTTTTCGGTTGACATTACGCCTGGTGCCGATTACAGATATAAGTTAAATGCGCTAAGAAACGTTGACGAGGAAAGATTTAACAAAAATTTCTTTTCATATGGTAAAAATAGATTTTGTTAATGATACTCATAGGCATACCTGCCAACCTCTAAAGATAAAAATGCAAAAGATTTCTCCAAAATTCAGAAGAACACGAAGAATTAATATCATGCTTTGATATTAAAAAAATTACAATTTATACAAATAGAAAAAAGAAAATTGTACTTACATTAGTAAATCTCAATTAAGTAGTAACTAAAAAATTTATTACGAAACATAAAACAAGAACTTGATGTTACACAAAAAAATTATTGCAATGAATTTAGAGTGCATTTTTTGGCTTTAGCCAAAAATTCTTTGGAAAATTTCCTGTCATAACAATTAGTTTCCTCATAACATTTAGCAATTAAAATGTTTTCTAGAGTTTTTCGTGAAACTGAAGAACGAAACATAGTTTTGTTTTTCTTCACAACACTGAAGACTCTCTCGCACTCAGCATTACTGTGTGGAATTACGAGAATAGCACATAAAACTCTTGCTAGTCTATCATTTTGGTGTTCCATCAGCTCTTTTTTATTTTATTTAGGTACCAACGAGGACATCAAGTCTATCTTCTCTCAGAACTGGCAAAGTCTTCAAACTGTGCAGCAGCAGAAAATTGGTTCTGTAGTTCATCTAAAAAGCATCATTATGGGCATTCATTTTCTTTAATTGTTAACAAAAATGGAAATTTATCAATAAAAAAACGAATCTTTTCAAAAGATGAATTTTCAATTTGTTTCAAATTTGCCGCTTCAGCATTTAAAAGAACTTTGCAAAGGAAACTTCCTTACAATGTAATCACAAGCTGAGGAAAAGTACTTTCTAACACATTGAAAAAATTCTTTTTTCTCATGATCTTTCAAAGAATTTACAAGTTTCCAGGTTTGATTTCCAAATATAAGATCATTGTCATCCTTTTGATTTTCCAAACTATTATAGGCAACATGAATCAACACACTGTTTTCCACAACAGATGGTTTTACAAACTTAGAATAAAGTTCTTTCAAAAGATCATTAAGAATTTGGATAAGCTGGGGAGATTTTGGCGAAGCTGATTGTAGAAGGGTATTTACACTTTCAAAAATCTTAATGGTACTTTACACAAAACTACAATATGCTTTGTTCAAATCTGAAGAAAGAAGATAAAAAATCCTTTCCTTCCGGCTAATAGAAGACTGTTTCTTCTTCCCTTCAACTTCTTTAACAAAGTTGACTTTTGAGGAGTCTTCTAAACATTTTCTTTTTAAAAGGTTTGATTCTGTGTGTTGGCTTTTCCCTTTTAAAGCATTTTGATTAGAAGCAAAGTTGGTTTTTGGAATCTTGTATGCCGACAAATTTGATAGGATCTGTGGTTTCGTTTTGGTCTCTTCGTGGAAATATTTTAGCAATGCATCCCTCTGTTCAATAAACCTTCCTAGCGCTCTGCCTAAGGATAACCATCTCGTACATACATGTTTCAGAATTTTTCTCGTTTCACCAGAGCACAGTTCTTGGAAATTCTTTAGGTTTTCTTTCCTTTTTACACATTTTCCAGATAGAAAAACACATCAATCAGAAGCTGGTCAATATTTAATGGTAAAGCAGCTGCAGCTTTTTCTGCTGCCAAATTAATTAAGTGGCATGGGCATCCAATAACAATTAATTCATTTTGTTCTTTTTTGAGGAAAGAGGGTACACCCTTTTTGTCACCCACCATGACATGAGTATTATCTGCACCAAATGAAATGCAGTTTGATATTGGGATATTAAGTTGTTTCAACTCATTAATTACCAAAGAGGCAATATTTTCCCCCGTAGCGTCTCCATTTAACAATGGAAGACGCAAAAGATGAATTTTCATTTCATTAGAAACATCACAGAAATATGTGACAACGATGGGGTAAAGCTTCCAATCGCTGTCGTTGCTGCCATCAATTGACACCGAAAATGCTGAATTCTGGAGTGCAGCTATCGTTTTACTTTGTGCATCACAAGCAGTTTCATTCACAATAGAAGATGCTTTCGTGCGAGCACAAGCATATTTCTGAGCAATCTTGGAGTCGGGAAACATCCGTCTGAAACGTTGACCGGTGTGATCGGCAGCGCTTAGCGGCACGTTGTGTTCGATGAGGAATGCAGTAAAAACAAACACTCTGCCAAATGACATCGGCATCCAATTCGTAGCCGAATTTAAAAAAAAAAAAAAATCATCCACTTTTTTGACTTTGTCGAAGCCGAAGCATTAACTTCATGCTTTTTTAGACTTAACATGCTTCACAATGTCGCTTCTTCCACCATGACTTATATGAAGTCACACACGCACACGTTGCAAAATGCCTAGTATTTCCTTTGAAGGATTCTTTATTGTTGGAAATTCGGCTTTGTAGGCAGGCCGAAAATATTGAGAATACGTTTTTTTTAACTCATTCATAACAACGACGTATTAAGAAAATTCGTAGCACAAGCAAAGAAACAAAAAAAAAAAAAAAAAAAAAAAAAAAAAAAAAAAAAAAAAAAAAAACAGAATGCGACAATCCACGCTCGCTGAATCCGAGCTGAGTAATTCCCTTGCTGCTGAAGCGAACGCGAAAAAAATAATCTGCCGCCTACAAAGAAAAGAGTTGGAGAAACAAGTTCAGCGCATTGGATTGGCTGGTTAAGCGGCGAGTTGGAGAAACTACAGGTTACTGGATTCGAAGTAGTCGGTAGTTGGCGGTAAAACACGATGCAATTGGCAAAATTCGCTGAATTGGCGAAAAATTCTAAATTTCGACAAAAATCACTAAAAACACTTGAAAAAGGAAAAAAATCGGAAAAAATGGATTACGATCGTAAAATCATAAAGACAAACGCATTTTCGTAAAAATTACGAAAAATTCCTAAAAGTTGGCAGGTATGTCATAGGGCAAAAGATTATATTTAGTGCTATTTGAATTAAAAATAACTGATTTGTTATTCACATAAAGACAGAGCTCACACCAGGCGGCATAATTTACGAAGAAGAGTAGTTAACAGAAGTTTTTCATTGTGATGACAATGCCCTAAATATCAGTCAAGTAAAGGAAGGTGAAATCTGTAGTATGGTTGTAGATCCAGAAAATACCACTACCAATAGTGAAGAAAGAGACAGAGAGGTTATTGAAAACAAAAAGATTTCGATTGACAAGTTAGTCGGAATTCTCAACCTAGCAATTAATGGACTCGAACAATAGAACTTGGTAACTGAACAAGAAATTATCTCTCTCTACAGAATTAAAGAGAAAGTATTAACACAAAAAACATAGCTACTCAAACAACTTACATTAAAAGAAATGCTTAATAAAGTAAACATATAAATATTAAACTTTTTCCTGTAAATTTTGATACCTTTTAGATCATAAATGCTTTATTCTTTCATAAATCATGATTTCATCTGTTTAATTTTATTCTGCATGCCATCTTATTTGATTTCCTAATATCCGGAAAAATTCAAAATTCGGAATCGCCAAAGTCCCAACGAGTCCGGATCTTGGACTTTGTACTGTATTTTTGTTGAAATACCCGAAATCTTTTGCGATTACAAAATTTCCTTTTTACTTCATACAAGGAAGCTCCATTTTTGAAATGTATATTACTGGTGATAATAAGTGGATACTATACAATAATGTTATAAGTAAAAGACCATGGGACAAGCAAAAGAACATCCTTTTAATCATCGAGAGAGGGGCTGCATCCCCAAAACGTAATTCTTTGTGTGTGGTGGGACAAAAAAGAAATTGTACATTACAAATTGTTATCAACAAATCAGACAAATTCGGAAGAATACTATTATCAAACAGCACATGCAGAAATTGAAGCAAAGCGAACTGACCAATCTTCACGGTGCTGTCTTCCATCATAACAACGCTTATTTTGATAAATGTCAGACAAAAATTTATGTACAGTATCTGACATGTTTTATGTCACCTCTCATATTCATTAAACATTGCCTTGGATTTTTATCTCTTCAGGCCAGGCCTGAAATTTACTTTTTTGGAGACTGTCAAATGGTAATTTATGAATAAACTTCACTTTTCTAAGGAAGTAATTTTCCAGCTGCTTGACAGATGACAAAAATTCATAGAATAAAATGATGTTTATGTCACTCAATGAAAGTTTGTTTTCATATTGCTTTGTTTGTATTTATCATAAAAAAAAACAACCACAGAACTTTCCAGATGACCCAAAGAGTAAACAGTTGTTATTCATGATAGAGTATAAAAAAATTATAAGTAGATAGCCAAATATTATTTTACAGTTCATTAATTACACTCTTAAGAAATCAGCAAAAAGAAAAACTTTTTTTTTAACTTGCTAAGAGAAAAAGCATACCAGATTTTGGAGTAGATTGAGAAATAACTGCATTCAAAGCCCGAATCTTATCTTGGGAGACTGTCTTGATTGTGGCAGTTCCTGCTGGCATCTGTTTCTTTATACCAATATTAGGGTCTTCAAAGCTTTTCCTCTTAACAGGGGCTTTCATTTGACTACTATGAGTGGGACGTATCTCACTGCTGAAAATTTATAAGATGCTCATTAAAAGTATTTAAAATATTGGAAATTTCTGATTATCTGCACCCTTAGTTTAAATGTTTGATAAAACTGCCATACTTTGGATCTCTTTTCAAATTTACGTGACACAACAACCAACCTTGTGTACTCGTACCACACACCTATTTGACTACACACGGATTTATATGTTTTATATTTAATTGAACATTATCTATCAGCTGTAAAAACATAAATGCCGTTCGTTATACAGCTTTTTCATTTTTCTTATAAATTTCTTTTTTCGGTACTATTTGGTTTTGAGGGCCGTAAAAAATTGCAGCGAAAATGCATGCACAAAAGCGCCAAATCTAGCAAACGCGCCAATTTAACACCGTGCCAAATCTAGCATACGCGCTGATTTCAGATTGCGTAAGTTTATATAATTCTATATTTCTTAAGACGCCATTGAAATACTAGTTTAATTTTCAAATCCTTTTTTGATATCTTATGGATTTAACAAGTTGGGAATTGCCCATGGCGAAAAGTTGGCAATAGAATTTTGGGTAAAGTGCAGAATCACCCACTGCTTGACCCGTTTTTAAGAATTGCACATACTCGGTATCCATGTGCACATCGACCCATTTTCACTTTAAAAAAAATCCTAGAATTGCACAAAAATGGCACTGCGCACACCCTTGACTTATTTTATTTATTTACTTACTTTATTTTATATTATTTATTTGACCTATTTTCACTTAAAAAGGAAAAGAAAATTAACAAAAATCCAATTGTTTTTACCCTTGTAAAAAGCGGCAAACAAATAAGTGAGCGATTCTGCACTTTATCGAGAATATTTTAAAAGAAAAGGCATCATTCATTATAGAAAATTACGTTTGAACAACCAACGAGATGAAATTATGCTTTAGCGATAAGTCGGTAGCGAAATAGCGATGCAGGCATCCATCCAGTTATGTTTAGCAATTTTTATGTAAATTATAATAATGATCTGAAATAGTTATTTACTCTTATGCTTCCATTCAGTCACGTTTAGTTTTTTCCATATAAATTATAATAATCAAAAAGTATTATATCAAATTAACCTTTCATCTAAAATAAAACATCAATCTTAAATAGTTATTTACTATTATACTTCCTTTCTTGCCGCAATTATTAGGGTTGCCACAATTAGTTTTGGCAGCACTGGCATCAAGAATAGTTTGGCGATTTTTTACGGCCCTCGAAACCGAATAGTACCCTTTTTTCTTATAAAATGCTTCTGTATTATTTAAGGAAAAAATAGTTTTGCAAGACATAATGATAGCCAAACATTTTTTGCAAATTCATAAAGTTGGCAATGATTTGAAGATTTTTCACTGAGGTGTAAATAATCAGAAAGTGCCAAATTCGCTGTGTTTGCTGAACCGATCACTCCATCAGAAAATTGATCATTCCACTCAAAAATTAAAAAGCATTTTTAAAAACACATATTTAAATAATAAATTAATAAAATTAAATAATAAATTAAAAAATATTTCAGGAAGACAACTCTTGGTAGAGGATTAAAAAAATTACTAGCAAGCTGAATATAGTAGACTTTAAATTATAGAATGGTACTTATTAATTTTTACTTAGTAATACAACATGAGTTTACAAAAGTGTTTCATTTGTTTTACTTCTCACTTCACACAGCTTTTAATTCTTAGTTTTATGCATTTGAAAGGCAAATGATATGTACTAAAAGTAGAGAAATAAAAAACTAGATATGGATCCACAGTAAGAACATTAATATCTTTCTTAAGAAACAACTTGTATATTGCCCACTCTACTTAATTTCTTTATTTAGCTGGTTTCATATATTTTCCGAAATTAAAGACTTCATGACTGTCAGAAAGTGGCTATTTCTTAACTGCATATATTTCATACAGATGTAGTCAAGCTTCTTAATCAGCTGATACTTTTGTTCACTGCATTAGTTAACATACTTATAATTTAATCATTTTATCTACTGGGGACAGAATAATGATAAATACATGCCAGTTTGTAATTAAATGATTTAGACTTGGAGGGCTATTTGCCTGACAGCAAAGATGCCTTCTTCACCCAGATGGTATAGCGGTTAGGAAAGCCTACTGCGGTTCCAAAGGGCCGAGGTTTGAATTCCAAAGAAGGCATGGATGTTTGTAAATGTACAATGTCTTTGCGGCATGGGGGGCACTCTAAATGTACGGTGAGCTGAAAGTCCTCTCGAGAGGTTGTTGATAGAGGATGAGGTGTGAGAGACCCTCGGACCTATCCACCCGGGGTGCTCTCTATCAAAATTTGGGGTGAAACTGAGCAAAGTCACACGTTCACCTGCATGATGCTCAAGGCTCTTGCCAACAGCAGGCACAATCTTGCTCCCCTTGTCATGACGAATTTCGTGGGCTTGTACTGATGTTACTGTCAGACAAGTGAGATAAGTCGCAGCAAGAAAAGATGCCTTCATAGAGGGCATTTTAAGAACAACTGAACACATTATACATGGGAGAAATAATGGAAACTCTAATGCACTCTTTGTTTACTGGGACTTAAACCCAGATCAAACTACCAGTGTTCAGCAATTTTACTGTTTGATAGCTAGCGAGCTACAATTAAATGAAAGAAATAAAACCACGTACGGAAGATAAATTATCAAAATGTAAGAAATATGGGTGGACCAATACACTGGTTAATGAATCTTCTGTGCATAATAATTTGAAGCTGTTCTTTTCTTTTCTTTTTTTGTTTTGTTGTCCACAATAATAAAACAGAATTAAATAATTATGCCCAGAAACCATTTAATAAAGGCATGTAGCAATCCTAAGAGCCACTGAAAATGCCGAAAATTTAAATGAGTTGAATTACTGGAAATTGTCGTAAGAGAGTTCTTTTGCAATAGTGGTTCAGTATTTCATTTACACAAAGAAAAGCAATGATCAAAACCTGACGAGACTTATTTCTCAAAGCCATCTGGCACTTGTATGCCGCACTGCCCCTCAAAGTTAATAGACAAGAGCAAGTAGCAGCAAAACACTGAAAGCACACTGCGAGCCTCATCCCCTCTCAGGACCACAACAGATCCATTAAAACTGGAGCAAATTCTCAAACTGTTAAAGTCTTATACATATGTGTGTGTGCATGAAATATAAAATATGAAATAAAATTATTAAACTTAATTGAAACTATCTGGAAATAAACCTTTAAGTTCATAACTGCTAATTAAAGACATGCTCACTTCAAGAATATGCTTTGCACCATCTTGCATCAGTCTGCACCATGTTACATCACACTTTCACAGCTCTGTAAAATCTTTAGACCAGCGGTTCTCAGCCTTTTGACTAACGTGTACCATCTAAACAAAAATTGAAAACTTTGGTACCACCACTCTTGAACAAAGCTCAGATCGTATAAATTTATGATTGTTAGAGAAAAAACTCAATCAAGATGTTGGTGTTTTAATTTTTGAATTTAATAGTTAAAAATATTTTCTTTGCATATGACCTATTTTTCCTCTTGCATACCACCGGTTGAGAACTCCTGCTTTAGACCAATCACTATTCAGGATTAAAACAAAGACTTTTTGGCTTATAAGTACGACCGGACTTAGTACGCATAACTTTTTCTCGCCTGCTGCTGCTTGAATAAACTAATCTTTTGCTTCACCTTTTTTCTCTATTGTTTTCAAAAAAATGCAAGTGCATATTTAAAAATTTTGGGTTGCAGATTACCTCTGTTATGGTGTGCTACTCAATGTTATATATTTGAACAGCATAATCATCATTTAATAAATATATACTGTGATTATCCAACCATTTTATAGTTATTTTAAGAGTTCAAAACATCTACTATGCTACTTGCATGTGTGTCACATCTATTACCACTTCGATCATGATCAATAATGTTAATTGGTTTAATCTTCTATACTCAGCTCTCCACTAAATGCTATCAATGTACCACAGCTGCAAACCTTATGTACATATTACCTTTATGTACTTACATGCAGGTATTTTGAAATGCCCCAAATTCATTAAGGCAGCATATTACAATATAAAGAAACTGCACATAAAGCAGCAGAATCCTATTGAAATTAGTCTGAGAAAACATGTCTTGCTTAAATTGATTTCTTTCTATCCATGCTATAGATAGCAAAACCATATCTACCATTCTGCCAAAACACTTTAATCAATGTAGCAAGATCACCAGAAAGGTTAGCCAGAAGGTCAAGAACAAACTCAGAACAAAATGCTATACAGTACAAAGTCTGAGATCCAGAACCATCAGGACTTCAGTGATACCTGATTTTAGATCATTCATTTAAATCTAGTAAGACATTACAAATTATAAAAAATAGGCACTTATGAAAAAACGGGCTATTTATGGCTGAAGTTAAGTTTTTTTCACTAATAATTATTCTCTAATTTTATTCATAGACAGACATAATATCTTGCTCAGTTACACTGTTCAAGTTATGTAATTGCTGTGTCCAGAATTCCTGCTTAACTGCCCATCAAAATCCTTTTTTTTTTCCTCAACAACATTTTTGTCACTTTCTTCACAAGCAACAGTGACATTTTTTTATTTACACTCAAGTCCATAAATTAAGGTTAATTCGGAGTTACGCGGAAATTGAACTCTAAAATAAATATATCACCTGTAAAATCACTACACACATCTTCAAGAATCATATGCAAATTTCAGGAAGTAACCAGATGACACCGATGGTATGTCACAATGACGAGAATGTAAGAGAGTGATATACAGTCAAAAGTCGTTAATTCGGACACCCATAATCCGGACCTCAAAGCTACAAACTTTCTGCGCAAGCGTCACGTTCACGCATGCGCACAGGCGTTTACGAGAGCGCGTAAGACCCTTACGGCTGTGAATACGTTTGTGCGCATGCGCGTTTAAATTGTAACGGAGTTATACGCTAAGCTAAAGTTATCTAATTCAGTTAATGTTGCCGATTGCGTTGTTCCTTAATCTTCGAATTGGATCCGGCTTA